AGCGTACGAGCCAGCATGTACAGTTTCCACTCGTCGCTTCTGCGGACTGCGCCCCCCCCCGTCGTTGCCAGAGGACTTGGATTTGCCCTGGCCCTTTCTGTTGCGAGCGACAACCGCTACAGCCGCAGCAGCAGTAGGGCTCTTCGCGTCGTCGCGAGATGCCTTCGCGACTGACGTTGCGCCCTCAGCTTCCCCGGCTGCGGCTCCTGCAGCACCAAACACCGTCGGCAGGATACCATTGACGTACACGTTGGACACGCGGAAAAACATAGAAGTACGATTCACCCATCCCCTTCGAATGTGGTTTTATCTCGAACGGGTAGTCTTCTCTGATTGTATGTATGTACATGTTGTCGAACACGATACGCAATGAGTGATATACGTGCTACACAGGGTTGTCACCCGGTTTGGGTACAACCGGGTACCCGGACCGGGTACCCGGTTCTGCAAATACCCGGCCGGTTCCGGGTCAACCAATTGATACCCGGGTATTTCGGCTACCCGGGTAGCCGGGTAGCCGGGTACTTGGTTGTTTCGATACACGGCGCCCCCAAAATGCACACACAGCACACAGCACCCAGGCGCTTCTCTTTTCCACGAGCGGGGTACGGGGCGGCCGGGGCGCTGCCTACATTTTTCTACTTTTCTGTCTTTCCTTCCGCCTTCGGTTAGTCCTGTTTTTCGGACTTTTTTGTGCAGACGGACGCACGACGTGGTATCGCGTTGGGGGAAAGTTTTTTTTTTGTCCCGCCCACATTTATTTATTTGTTGTATTTTCTTCTTTGTTGGGTAGCTTGTCTGTCTGCGTAGGCGGAAGGCGTCCGCGCCAGGTGGACCGGTGCGGATATTACAACGTACTCGGCGGAGGCGGGAACGATTTCATATGCAACAAGCTACTTACTACCACCACTGTAGTTCTTTTGTTTTCTCCCATCATTGGACTCTGTCGTCTGCCCCTCTGGCCCCTATCCTCCACTTCTACTAGCTAGACGACCCAACCGGGGTCACATCCGAGGGGGGGGCTGGACCCCCTCCTGCGGTTCCTGCCTGACGTTTTTTTATCGCGAGAAGGGTACAGCAATCCCTTTCCTCGCGAGTTACGAAGTCGATTATGGTTTACTAACAACGAGCTTTGCAGCGCATCGCTTTCATCCTAGACCAGGAATATTTAGGGAGAAAAAAACTGACTCTGCCGGGACTCGAACCCATGACCTGGCCCTTAGCAGGCTGCGAGGTTACCCACTAGACCTAGTGTTAAAAGGTGGTTGGTGGCCCAACTGCCGTACGAAGAGCGCAACGCTTCATCGTGGCACGAAGACACTGGAAGCAAAATTAAAAGTGATGGAAAAGGAGAGTGTGTGCGTGTGTTGACAAAGTCCAGCAATTGAAAATGCCGGGTCACAACCCNATATTTAGGGAGAAAAAAACTGACTCTGCCGGGACTCGAACCCATGACCTGGCCCTTAGCAGGCTGCGAGGTTACCCACTAGACCTAGTGTTAAAAGGTGGTTGGTGGCCCAACTGCCGTACGAAGAGCGCAACGCTTCATCGTGGCACGAAGACACTGGAAGCAAAATTAAAAGTGATGGAAAAGGAGAGTGTGTGCGTGTGTTGACAAAGTCCAGCAATTGAAAATGCCGGGTCACAACCCTCACGCACAACATTTAGCTACGTATGCTGATGTTCTTTTTTGCCCTTCTTGGAGCAGAGAAAATACGCAATGCAAGCAATCATTGTGTTCGAAGTACCACAAAAAGACCGGAAGGGCGGACTTTGTTCGACGTCGTCCTCTGGCAGATCATAATGCTGTGTGACCATTGTTGTATGTACCCTTTTCACCCCCCCGAGGTCAACGCCCCCCCCC